GCCCAGACGGACTTACTCTGGCACCACTTGTTTGATCTGTGGCTTCACGTATCCATCCACGGCTTTAGCTGTAGACAGGGCGAGAGAGAGGAGACAGTGCTAAGGCACGGAAAGGCCGGGGGACGTTCCAGGCACTGACCCGACAGCGTCACCTGGGCTAGCAGCCGGTCGGCACGAGGGCTCCAACGAGCAAGAGAGCCCGTCAGCGCCGTCGGGTTCGGGTCTCTGTGCCACGAGGCCAGACACCACCGAGAGGAACCGATCGCTGCTAACGGGCCAGGCCCTCAGGGGTACGAGCTGGTGCCAGCTCCCACGGCCCCAGAGTCTGAGTGTGTGTGCGCGGCAGGATGAGGGGAGCACAGGCCAGTGCAGAGCCCAGCGCCGAGAGCGACTCACAGAGAACCGGTGTGTAGTACTTGGAGAAGACCTCGTCCTTGGGTCGGTCGGGGAACACGTAGATGAGGTAATTGAGGTCACCCAGGCGATCGGCCAGCGAGCGGATGGAGAAGTCTCTGGTTGTGAAGGGCATGAGGTTCCAAAACATCCTCTCAGCTAGAAACGCAACAGCAGAGACGACAGTGAGACGCAGAGTCCGGAGCCGCGGGCAACAACACTGCTCAAGTCAGGCCCTTGTGTGGCACAGCTGGCCCCAGGACTCAGGCCTCGAGGAATCGCGAGACTGGCTTCAAAATCATGAGACCTCCAATAAGAATCAACATCGGGTTCTTTTTCTCCACCTTCTGGCTTTGCGCTTTAGGATTCCCGCCCTGCTTCCCCCAGGGCTGTTTGTGTACACGAAAGGTGAGATTCTCATGGAATCACCTGAACCCGGGACCTGGGGCTTTAAGAAAAAACCCAAATAGCACCAGACTTTCAATTCAAGTCCCGTGAGTTTCCCACCAGCTCGTGCGGCGCGCCAGGGCTGCCGCTGCATTCAGGGCGTACAAACTCCTCTGACACGTTTCACTAGCGTATTGGTTTAAAATCTCAAGTTAATGAAAACAGCTTTTCTTCGCGCTCACCCGCACCCCTGCAACACGCCATCACCCCACAGCTCCAGGGAGAGCCAGAAAGTGAAACTAACTAGAAACAAAAGTGAAACAACAACTCCTCTGCGATGGGCCAAGCCGAGCTGAGAGCCAGAGGCGAAGCAGAGCCGTGATGTTATTTCAGGTTTAACATGGAGTCTCATTTGTTGCGAGAGACACAGAGAAGGCCTCTGCTCTGGTTGTATTTTCACGTAGGTCTCTCTAAACGCAGCTCTCGTGACAAAACACCGTTTGGAAGATTTACCGTACTGCTCAGCACAGACCCGCCGCCCAATGGACTGCCCTGGATTTCATAAATGGGAAAAGAATCCTTGTGACAGCCTGGAGCAACCTAGGTCACGTGTTCTGAGCTAGAAAGAGAAAAGCCCAAGCTGCCCTTTCCAAAGGCTCTCCAGAGCTCCCAGCCAGCCAGTGGAGGCTGTCATGTTGGTACAGTTAATGGTGACCGAGGTGAGACAGCAGGACAGGGCTTGCACCAGCACGATGACTGGGTTTGCTCTGCACCACGCACAGCTCACGAGCCATCAACTGACTCACACGCCAGGGCTGAGCTGGCCCCGTTCCAGCCCCAGGCACGGGTCTGGTTCCATGCTGCCCCGGGCCCACCCTGACTCACGCGAGTCGAACTTCCAGGCGATGGTGATGCCCCCGATCTCGGAGTCGCTGAACCGCAGCAGGAAGGTCCCGTCCGGCTTGTTGATCAGCAGGTCGTGCGCTTGCTGCTTGTTGACGAAGCCCAGGATGGCCCTGGAGCACAGAGAGGGGGGTGAGGGGCTGGCGGGCGGGTGGGGGGGGGGGGCTGTGCCGTGCCGGCCGTTATGGGAAGGAGGTTCTCACCCGTCGTTCCAGTGAGGCTTAAGATGCTTCTTCAGCACCTCCATGACCCCGTCGAACCACTGCCAGAAGGTGTAATTCCGCCCTGGCAAGTTTTCCTGGGTAATTACAAAAGACCCTGAGCGTCTCTGAGCCCAGCATGCCCTACGACAGCCACTCCTGTCTCCCAGCCCCACTCTGGCCACAGGGAGACCTGGCGTGGCACCAGGGCAATGCACACACCTACCATGCATGTGGGCATCACTCTGAACGCTGGCTGCGGGACGGGCACTGGGTACCGAGTTCCCCCCTTCAGCGCCAGGTGCCCTGTAAGCAGGCTCTGCTCCTGGGAGCAGTTATAGGCACAGTCCTGCCAGGGCAGGCAAGCCCGCCATCTCTCCTGTGCTAGCCAGAGGGAGGGAGGCAGGCAGCAGAGTGGCACAGTGGAAGTGCCGGGCCCCTAACCCAGAGGGTTATGGATTGCCACCATCCCTGCCAGCTTCCTTGGGAGAGGAGGGCCGGTCCAGCGCCAGCGTGAGCTGAGACCAGTGCCTGGCAGGAGGGTCCCGGGGTCCCGTCCCTCACAGTCTCTCAGCACCATTTGCTTCTTGCTCCTGCGCGCGCTGCTCTGCGGCGAGATGCGCCCGCCAGCCTATGCCAAAGGGATTCCTGGCTGGCTGCCCCGATGGGACAGCAAGTCTCCACGCCAGGCTGCCCTGGCCAGGAGCCCGAGGGGACGCGCACTGCTGTGGCATCTCACCAGTTTAAAAGAGAACTGGATAAATTCATGGTGGTTAAGTCCATTAATGGCTACTAGCCAGGATGGGTAAGGAATGGTGTCCCTAGCCTCTGTCAGAGGATGGAGATGGATGGCAGGAGAGAGATCAATTGATCATTGCCTGTTGGTCCACTCCCTCTGGGGCACCTGGCATTGGCCACTGTCGGTAGACAGGACACGGGGCTGGATGGACCTTTGGTCTGACCCGGTACGGCCGTTCTTATGTTCAGTACCCACAAGTGATGTCACTCAGCTACTACAGGATCCCTTCCCCCGCACCGCCCCGCCCCCAGCCGGGCGCCCCCGCTGCCCTCCCGGCCCGGGCCCCGCTGGCGCGGCTCACCCTGTTGAACTGGGACCAGGAGACGGCCATGGC